TGAAAAGGATCAAAAAACTTCAGATTAAAAAATATATAAAATATATAATATTATAATAATATGTAATATGTAAAATATATAAGTTTATTAAACAAGTATAAATAAATATCCACATTGTAAAAGCAAATCTTTTTTAATTATATGCTTTAAATATATGTCTTACAAAGTTAAATTATTATGTGCTATAAAAAAAGACCTCGTTTTACAGCCAACTGTATCTAAACACTACTAATAAAAAATTTTGTTTTATTAAAATAGTTACCTTTAGTAGGTGACTATACTAACATAATTTATCTGTTTACATTTTTACAAAATGAATTAAAAAACTAAAGAGTTTTTAAATATTAAATTAACAAATTTCCTTCCTTTTCTACATCTATAAACATATGCAGAGCAATATCAAGAAAAAGTAATTTTCACTGTTAATTTATTCATTATTGTTAATTTATTCATTGTATAACTTAACTACTTTAACTACTTACTGTTGGCAACAAAATTGTAACTAAGTTAATTTACTTCATCTTAATCAATTTATATTAATAAATAATGCATAGTTAATGTAATTTAATAAGTTATGAGTTTAAAAAATTTATTTATAACTTTAAAGCAAAATGTATAATCGTAATCTGATTATCTAATTATTAAAATTTTTGCGATAGAAAAATAAAGTTCATAAACTTTCTACCTAATTTCAATATAGTTAATGTGATTATTAACAGAACTATAAACATTTGTAAAGCATATAGTTGCCTAAAAAAGTTTAATTTATAGCAAAATTTTTCGTTTCAATTTTTTGAACAGATATGCAGAGCTACAAAATACAATGCCATTATTTCAAAATAAATAATATATGACAAAATAAATGCCACTATTTTAAATCTTGACAAATTTAAATTAAGAATAATTGAGATAAAATGTTTAACATCAAATTTGTTGATGTAAGAAAATTGTTTCAAGTGAAATTTTCTGTGTTTTCTACATTTCAAGCTAATAATTGTTGACAGACAAGGCCATTTTTTCAATAGGATTATATTTGTTTTAACTGCTACTTTCAATTAAAGTCTTGGATACAAGAAAAATTTATGTTTTTCTTGTACTTGATATTGGCACAGAAAGCATTAGGGCAGGATTGAAAAGTCTGTTTTCTTAAAAGAAATGACATTTGTAAACTAAATTTGAAATTAAAGAAAACTAAAAACCTTAAGATGGGGCCAGTAGTTCCTTACCTGCTACCTATAAATACCTATTTAGTTTCAGGTTAAGATATTGTATGTAGAATGTAACTTTTTTAAAAAAACCTTCGAAAGATGTGTCATTGAAGGAACCAATCTTTCCTTCTGTCACATAAGATTTGAATGCGTATGACTAAACATTTAGAATTCTATTGAGATGTCTTTATTCAAAATTAATAGATATTTATTAGTAGTATGTAAGGTATTATTGCCCCCTTCTAAACTTTTTAAACTTTTTTTGAATTTCCAGTTTTGTTTACAAAGTTCATTTCTTTTGTAAAACAAGACTTTTCCTTCCCTAATACATTTTTTTTTATTATTTTCTTGATTATCAACCATGAATTATGATATAAATGATAATATAATAAAAATGAATTGTAATTGGACATTTTTAAACGAAAAGGAACCAAGCGCCATTTTTAACTAAATTGAGTTATTTGCGCTATCTTGTAGAAAATTGTAAGATTTATATAGTAATAAAAATCTGCTTTAACTATAGTGTTGTCAATAAGCAGGAAGAGGTCAAGAAAAGATGGGAAGTGCTGTATCCAGTATTCTGTAATAAACAGAAAGAAAACCATTTTCTCAAAACCATACAGATGGTGCTTGATCCCTTTTTCATTTAGGGGCATTCAATTACCAATTATGGATTATAAGACTTTTCATACAATCTTTTTGCCTAGGTCGTGTGTTAAAAAATATACCATTTAAAATAAATAAATAAAAATTAAAATTAAATAAAAAATTGAAAAATCCATAATTCTATGGTTTTTAATATCTAATAAGACAGACATAAAGAGTGGGGATCAAACTTTGAAAAATAAAAAAAAATAAAATTGATTCAAAACGACCAAATTATGGTTTCCAAGATTAACAATTAGTAAAAGCATAAAAAGACGATACATTACCAGCAAGGGTTGAAATATGTTTTGGACATTGGCACCCCAGGGATCGTTTTGAGACCTGTTTGAGAGGGCCAACCAACGATTGTTAACCATTGTTAACAACGGTTGTTCAGGGACAACCAACCATTGTTAACATTCCACATATTCAATTTGAGAATATTTTATCTAAAGGTCTTAAAACCTTACTCAATCAAAAATGCCACCATTATTGCCATCATGGTAGACATTTTTCTTTTTTTTTTTAGAGTTTTTAACATTTTTATTAGTGACAATGAGATAAACAAATTTATTTTATTAATTCATAAAGATGGTTGAATTATTTTGTTGTTAGTTAAAAGTTTCTATTACATTATTTCTATTACAAAAATTTTTTATCAGTTAAATCAATGAGCTATTTTCTGAATTTGTCTAAATTTTAAGATATATTCTGAGTTTGTCAAAATTTTAAGATATTTGTGTCAAACTTTGACAGTTACCTGTAAAATGAATTTGAAAAACTTTGATTTAAGGCACACACAGCATGATTTAAAAACTGCAACCAAAATACCTTCTTTAACCTCTGGTAAGCCCCTGGTTGCGGGAAATATATATTTTTTAAAACTGCTTTAATCTTGACAAACTCATAATCTTTTTATATGTTTTTATATATTTCTTTATGAATCATAATCTGTTTATATTTTTATAAGTTTTGTCATAAAATATTTTTTGGCACTTAAAATATATGGCTATATAAAACCTAGCACCCCCTCATTTTTTTAATGTTTTTTTTAACTGTATTTAAAAAAAAAAGTTTATTTTAAAATCCAGTTTATTTTTAAAAATTTTTAAAAAGTTTACTTTAAAAAATTCAGTCTATTTTTAAAAAGTTTATTTTAAAAAATCAAAAAAAAAAATTATATTTCCAAAAAATCCAAAAACTTCTTGAAAAAGCAATTTAAAAAAATCATAGAAACTTAAAACCTCTCAAAAATGGCAGTATGTATTTTTTTGGTCTTCAGTCAAGTTGATTCTTTTTACTTTTCATATATTAATACTATTGCAATAATAAGATTTGATATTTATAATGATAAGATTTGATATTTATATAATGATATTATTTAAGTAGTCTTCTTATTTAAATTTTGTTGTTCCTGTTATCTATAAAAACAAATAGTGAACTAAAAGTTTGATCCTTAGACTTTTTATGGATGCAAAGGGAAGGTGTCTTGAGATTATAGCCTACCATGTACTTTCTTGGTTACTAATAAAATCCTTGTTCAATATGAGATGAGTGTTCTGTGACTCCTTGCTTGTATAAACCATACCATAACTTATAAACTGTACCATATAAAGTTACTGTATAAACCATGTATATTTTTATAGTACATTTTTTTACTATAAATTTTTATTTTTTATTATCACATGTTACATATATTACATATTTCTTATTATTTATTATATATCACATACTTTTATTTTTTATCTAAATAGCTAATAACAATGCATTTTGATTTTATTTAGGGGTGCAACATCAGTTGTTAAAATTGTTACACAAAAAGGAACAAATTTTCAATATGCTATGAAGCAGATGAAAAAAAATGTATGTTTAATTAGTATTTTTGAGTTTTAATTAGGCAGATAATTTAAAAAGTTTTCTCTAAATTTTTATGTTATATCTTTTACCTCTTCTAATATGTAACACAAAAGGTGTAAAAGTACCTGTCTACAAATATGCATTTTTGTTGTTAAATTGAAGAATTCTCTCTTGTTTTAAGATTGATAAGAAAATAATAAGAACCGAAATTGGAATTTTGTTGCGACTCTGTCATCCAAATATTGTAAGAATTTTTTTCTAAATTTGTTGTTTGTTATTTTGCATGTGCACATATGTAAACATGAATCTGTGAATCCATTTAAATTGTGCTTGTGTTGTTGCAAAACATATCAAGCTGTCAACACTAGACTGTAGTTAGCATGTATGTATGTATGTATGTATGTATGTATGTATGTATGTATGTATGTATGTATGTATGTATGTATGTATGTATGTATGTATGTATGTATGTATGTATGTATGTATGTATGTATGTATGTGTGTATGTATGTATGTATTTATGTATGTATGCATGTATGTATGTATGTTTGTTAGTATGTTTGTATCTATGTATGCGTATATGCATGGGTGTATGTGTGCAGAAGATATTTATAAATTTAAATATGTTTATTGTGACAGATCAAACTAAAAGAGATATTTGAATCTCAGACACATCTGTTTCTCATTCTTGAATTGGTTACAGGTGGTGAACTTTTTGATAGGTTTGTTTTTTATTATTAAATCTTTATTGTGATAGAAATGCACAGTAGGCGATGCAGTTTTTTCCACTTTATTTCGGCTTCAGTTACTGTGCTTTTAATTGCTAGATTGGTTCTCTTGATTTAACACATGGTTTATGTTTTCATTTGCCAATTAAAATTCTAATGGACTGGGAAATATAGAAAAAAATTTTCCCCAAAAAAGTTTAAGATTGTTTGATTCTAATATTATGAAAACAAGCATTTATTTTGATCTGTGATCATTTACATTTGCAATCTGTGATCATTTATATCTGTGATCTGTGATCATTTACATTTGCGATCTGTGATCATTTACATCTGCAATCTGTGATCATTTACAATTGCGATCTGTGCATCTCTATTTTAGTTTTAAATTTTTAATTAAGATTGTTAGAAACAAGCATATTTAAAAATTACAGCAATAAAACAAACATAATTATTTTTTAGAATTGTTGAAAAAGGTTTCTATAGTGAGAGAGATGCTGCACTCTGTGTTAAACAACTCTGTGAGGCTGTTGGGGTAAGCTTTCTAATTGAATAATAAAAAAAAGTAAAATAATTTTTATTAATTAAAAATACTTCCTTTTTTTCTTCATTTTTTATTATTAAAAAAGAGTTTTCACTACTTAGAGCATTAATAAAACAGTCATTTATAAAAAAATAGTTTTAGATGTTTTATTTTAATACAGAAAAGTTTGAATTCCTAATATTTTATACAAAAACAATATTAACAGAAAAAATAAATGTATGTAAATATATAAATAAATGTGCTTTCTTTATTCTAGTATCTTCATGAAAATGATATTGTTCATCGTGATCTCAAGGTGAGGTTTTTTTCAATAAGGATTTTTTATACATGTTATTCATAATTTAATTTTCTTGTTTAAGTATAAGTAAATTTTCATTGATTCTAGTAGCCTCCTTGACCTCAGAAAGGTTACTCTATATAAAAATAAAAGATAAAAACACATAAGGTTCTTAAGTTTTTAAATCTTTTTTTAGCCTGAAAATCTTTTATATGCAAACAAAGATGAAAATTCACCTTTAAAACTTGCAGATTTTGGACTTTCTAAAATGCTAACGACAACAAGCAGTACTATGCAAACTGTTTGTGGAACACCTGGGTATTGTGGTAAAAAATTTTTATAATTTTACTTTTAACTGTTTGTGGTACACCTAAATATTCTGGTTAAACATTGAAAATAGTTTCTAAAGGTATTAGGCATATGAAACAATAACCAGAGCTTGCAGCATTTGTAGTTTTGTTTTAGATGGAACTTACTGACCCTCAAGCATAACACACAGAGTTAAGGAATTTTTATTGGCTGTTCTTAGGACATAGGCTCTTAGTAATGGATTACAAAGTACCCAGGAACTAAATACAGAAATAACAATAATCAACTTAATTCCAAATCCCTTGTGAAGAATAATCTTTAGATCATCTTATAGTTCAATTTACATTTTTCACTTTGTTAACTTTTAACTGATTTTATGCCACTTTCCTTTATATAGATTGACATAAAGAACCCTTCTTTGAACATTAGCCCAGTAAGAATGGTTTTATAGTGAGTTTTATGTACTTTATATTTGACTCCTTCATACTTTCCACAGCATTGAAAATATATGTAAGAATACAGGCTGTTCTATTAACTCCACCTATATCGCTTGCAGTTACACTCCTATGATTTTGATCTGTACTTCCATAATGTTTTAAAAAGTAGTTCATTTGTTTTGCTTGGTCAACTCTTTTTAAAGTGAGACTTGACCAAGCAATTAATGGCATTGCCATCGAACAACACAAAGATCATGGTTTTATTGCGCAGAAAGTTTGCTTGGACTCATTATTTGATGCTTTACTGTTATTGTTGTTGTCATTGTTGTTGTTGTTGTTGTTCTTGTTGATGCTCAATGCTCTAAGGAATATTTGAACCTTTGGTAATCTAATTCATAAGTTTGGTATCATAATGAAGTATGAGGTCTAAGCCTTTAAGATGATTTTCATAGAATTGAAATCATTTATTATATATATGTACATTTTTATTTTTTTATTGAATTACATTTTTTTGAATTTTTAAATTTTAATTATGCATTATTTATTACAGCACCTGAGGTTTTGTTGGGCAAGGAATACAATTCAGCTGTTGATATGTGGGCTATAGGTGTTATTACATATATTATGTAAGTTAATTTTATTTTTTGTTTTGTAGTTTTTTTTAAGGTAAAAATAATTTTAAAAAACTTGTTTTTTTTATTGCTTATACCTTATTTAAACTTTTGTTTTCACAAATATAAGCATATTACAAATATAAAAAATCTTAATCATACACAATATAAGTGGGGACAGTATAGTAGAGTAACACAGTAGTAGAGTAATTTATTAAAATAAATTATTTTTACCATTGCTATTGAGCTTCACCTGCTTTTTCATTTATACATACACACACATCATACATACATACATACATACATACATACATACATACATACATACATACATACATACATACATACATACATACATACATACAATCATACATATATACATACATACATACATACATACATACATACATACATACATACATACATACATACATACATACATACATACATACATACATACATACATACATACATACATACTGATATTTATTTCAAAGTACCTCGTTTTTCAATGGTAAACTTAAATATTTATATTATATTCAAAATTTTTCTTACTTTTTATTTAAGGGTAGCAAGTTTTTATTATTTTTGTATCTAGTTCTTGTGATCCATTACTAATTCCTCCTCACATGCATTTACACTATTTTCTTCTTTCTCACATGCATTTACACTATTTTCTTCTTTCTCACATGCATTTACACTATTTTCTTCTTTCTCACATGCATTTACACTATTTTCTTCTTTCTCACATGCATTTACACTATTTTCTTCCTCCTCACATGCATTTACACTATTTTCTTCTTTCTCACATGCATTTACACTATTTTCTTCTTTCTCACATGCATTTACACTATTTTCTTCTTTCTCACATGCATTTACACTATTTTCTTCTTTCTCACATGCATTTACACTATTTTCTTCTTTCTCACATGCATTTACACTATTTTCTTCTTTCTCACATGCATTTACACTATTTTATTCTTTCTTACATGCATTTACACTATTTTCTAAGGAATCATGGTTTTCATTTGTTTTGTTTTTTTATTGGAATGCAAATAAATGTTAATTGATTAACTTGAGTTGTTTTCATATTCAGCAAGTTTAACTGTTGTTGTATTTGTTGAGCTTTTTCTATATTCAGCAAGTTTCTGTTTCTATATTTAGAAAGTTTACAAATGCAAGTTTAATTGCATAACTTTGCTTCCTTGTTCATTAAGGCTCATATTTCAGAATTAAAGAGTTGAAAGTGGGTTGAAATGACAGTCAATCAATAATAATAATAATAATATTAATAATAATAATGATAAAAAGATTAACTTTCTCGACTTTGGTCATCCTCGAGGCCCTGGGATGGTAAATACCTTAAAAATGTATATCAATAATAAAAGTTTTAATTCAAAGATATCACTACTCATCTTTTTTTGCAGCATTATCATTATCTCAATTTATTTTTCATATGGCTGTTAGTCTACTGACTTATAACCAAGTGACTAATAAATTAATATTATACTATTAATATGACTAATAAATTATTATTAAAAGTACTGAAGATAAAAAAATGCTATGTCAATCTGGCCTTTTTTTTCACTACTTATGTCAATCTGGTCTTTAATTTACTTCTTTTGTCAATCTGGTCTTTAATTCACTTCTTATGCCAATCTGCTCTTTAATAAGTTTTTAATGTCAATCTGATCTTTAAAGAAGCAAAATTGTATCATTATTAGGTAGCGTATTTTTTAGAACTACCTAAAAAATACACTACCGAATGCTTATAGAATTCACTATCCTGTTGAAAATTTTAGATAAAAATTGATAACAAATACAATTATTTTTATATTTCTAAAGAAAATTTTTTATCCTGTATAACACATATAATTTTTTAAATAATATAATAAATAAAAAATTAATATAACAGTCAAAAAAATTGTTTTTGAATTGAAAAAATATTTTTTACATTTAAGGTTATGTGGCTTTGAACCATTTTTTGATGAACGTGGTGACCAGGCTATGTTTCAAAAAATACTCAAATGTGATTATGAATTTGTTACACCGTGGTGGGATGATGTATCAATTAACGCCAAAGTATTTTATTATTTATTTAATATTGCAATAATAATACTAGATATTTATATTAATATTTTTGAAAAAAATAGTTTTCTTATTGTTTCAATTTTGTTATTCCTGTTAAATTTTATTTATTAGTTTATGATGCATATTTAAAATATAACAAAAAAGTCCTCTAAAAAAAGTCAAGTTCTCAATCAAATCAGCAGGCATAATTAGTCATAGAGACTCATGGAGTGGGCCTATCCTTAATATCACTATTTTGTCCAACGCTAGACATTCAAATAAAGCTGTCAGTATTGTTGTACTGTACAATTATACCATAAAAAAGTTTTTATTTCTTTATTCAAATAAATTCAGTCAAAATATAGATTTTTCAAAATAGTTTTTATTTTATATAATGCTAACTATTTTTAGTCGTTTTTTTCTTGCATTTTCCTTTTGTAATTTTTTGTTTTGTGTATGTATTTTTGAAGAGCATTATTAATGGAAAAAAAGTTATAGCTCTAAACAATTGAAAAAAGACAGAGTTCATTTTTACGCTATAACAAAATTTTCTTATAGGTTTCCTAATGTTAAAGGCCTCGCCTTATTTCAGTATAATTAGATTGTGAATTTTACAATTTCTAAACAAAAATAATGAAAGTAATTTTAACAAAAATAATGAAAGTCAACTTTATTATATATTTATTATATTGTTTCTAATTTCAAAGTTAACTTCAAAGAATAACCCAAAACTAAAGTTTGTTTTTTCCCACGTGGTCTGTAAATTGAACGAATTACAAAAAAACACAAAGAAATGTTTGATGCATATTTCTCTTACCGCACTGTAATGTCTTTATAATGACAACAAAATATTCGCCGAAATAGCTAAAAACCGACTATATTTTAACCTTTTTTTTTCAGCAAACGAAACCCATAGAAACTTGATCATAAAGCAATTAATTTGTTTGTTAGCGCGTCATGATATTTTCAACGCTATGATCTTTTTTTATTATTTAAAATAAAATAGAGTGATCAAGTAAAACTTTAATTAGTTTTATCTAATCTTAGAAAAAATTATGTTAATCTTTCTATTTCTTATAAAATTTCTGTTCAACCCTATTTGTTTAAACTTAAATAAAATCTTAAAATTCCTAAAATGTCTGTTCAACTCTATTAGTTTGAACTAAAAAACAATTCAAACTAGGAAAACAATAGTGTTTTTCAGCGACGAAGTTAAGTTTTACATCTTGAAGTGATTACAGCGACGAAGTTAAATTTTACATCTAGTAAATTTTACATCTTGAAATGATTATAAATTTAAACGTTTGAATTAAGTTGCAACGTTAGAAATTTTAAAACGATCTTTTTCAGCGTAATTAAACTTTTACTTAGAGTGATTTAGAATGGAATTAAATTAGACAATGATTTTTTCCTCTATTTTTGTTGTTCATTCATACGCTACAACATAAACCACGTGACATAATTTCAAAATTTAATTTCTAAACGAATGCTAACGCTTAACAACACAAAAATAAACAAAAATAAGTATAGTTTTTAAAATATGCTTTGCGCATCCAATATTTAACAGGACAGGGCCGTAGGAACAAAAATTACATATCTATATATAATATCAATACCAAAATCAAATATTTAAAACAATGATAGCGTTTCTATCTATAGTTTTTTGCTGTTTTTTATTTTGAGTTTTAACGACTATTTTAATGGCCGTGTTTTTTTAAACAGTAATAAAATTATCGTTAAAAATCACGGCTGTTAAAAATTATTCTTTATATCAATTTATTAATTCTTCTTGTCTGAAAGTTCATTTACTCGATTACCTCAAAATACATACTTTAGTATAATATGCTTTGTTTAATATGTTAAATTAACATGATAAACAAAGTGCGGTATAAACTTCGTTAATTCAACCAAGTTCACTTTGTTTATTATGTTTACACTCTGTTTATACTCTGTTTACATTACATAAATAAAAACATCTAAAACAAGACGTGTTTTAGACGTTTTAAAAAGTGTTTATATGTTTTAAAACGTATTTTAAACGTATTTTACACGTCTTGTGCTTAGTGGGCTTGCTCCATTATTTCAACTAACGAAGTTGTAGACCATAATTATGTAAAACGATCGAAATACTGAATTGATTCTTCACAGTTTAGGAGATAAAATAAATTACAAATTTTAAATGGGAGTTTTATTAGTAATTTAAATGGTAATTTTTATATAATACCCAAAACTCACAAATATCAAGACAATATTAGCAAGGTAGATATTGAAAAGACACGAGTCCAATTATTTTCTTATTGAAATGAAACCACCAAAAGTTATTTGATTTCTGCTGAAATAAACCAACATCTTTTTTTGAAACCAGTTTCTGCTTAAAATCTCTAATTGCAAGGGGGCAAAAAGCTTGAATTACTTGACTTGAATTATCATCTTTTAGTTCAATGACATTTGATATCATTAAGTTCTATATCAGTTTTTCGCCTGATCTCGGGATCTTAAAGTTTTGGATAAATAATATAAATGATTTGAAACTGAATTTATAATTGAGTCAGCATCCTTTATTTTAAATATTAATAATTTCTGGTTTTTAAAAAATAAATTTGCTTTTTTATAAAATCTTAACTAAGCATTTTTTTTTTAAACAAATAAGTAAATTGAAGAGAAATTATATTTTAGATGCATTGATAATGCTTTTATAATCTGGCTGAAACTTGTGATATTTTTAAATACAATTAAATGTCTCAATTGGTATTATGATTAATTTTCAGGATTTTCAATAAATAGTAACACTGTTTTTAAATTTACACTGTTAATAATTTTTCAATAAATGGTAACACTGTTCTTAAATTTACTCTGATAATAATTTTTAAGTTAGCAATTATTAAAAAAAAGTAAAGTATTTTATAAAGAAATTAACACTTATGACAACTTAAACTATGACATAATCCATTTTACATAAACTATGTCATCATCCATTTCACATTAAAAATAATATTTTTTACCATTTTTTACAAAATTATGAAAATAAGAGGCAGAAATATAAAAATAATCATAACATTACATTAAAAAATTCCTAAGTTATGACTGAAAAATTGTGACTTGTAACTTTATCCTTTTTGAATAATTTTATTATGGAAAACTCACAAAACTTTAACAACTAAAACTACAAAAAAACATAAAGAAATATTTCCCTGTAAGTTTTAATTTATAGATATGCGCTTTAATTTTTCAGAATTATAAAAAAAAAAAAAAAAAAAATAATGAAAAAAATGATTGCTGCTCCAAATCAAACCCTTAATCAATGTATGTACTGAAGTCAATCTATATACATTGTTCATTGCATAACATTATTTTAGTGACGCAACATAAGAAAAAACAAACAACAAAGTTTTCATACTGAATTTTTATTATACAGAAAAAAACTATCAGTTCATTGACTTGTAATGCTAATACAAATTCTAATGCTGATTTGATCTCACATTGAATAGATTTAATTCTCCCAGCCTTGCAGTTTGCTTTACAATAGCTACATTTCTGTCTACTGCTTCTTTACCGTGCATTGCTGCAAGAATTGCCAGAAGAATTTTTTATTGAAATGTATTTCTAACACAATCATTGCAGCCATAATGCTTTTGTTTTTAAACTGAGAAATGACATTGTCACTGCCATCTGTACTTCTTTAACTCGATTAGGAATAAAGTGAAGAATTTTGTTGATTTATGGTATAGCTGAAGGCTTTGTATGACCAGTTAAATCAGAAACTATAGCAAATGTTTTTAACTCAGCGTCCCCGACTGCAAAGGTCACGGTTGAAGTTTGGTTTTGACCACATGAGCTTATGATTTATTTTGATAGAAACATTTGATTTTTTTTAAATGCATGTTTAACAAATTTGTTATGCATCAATGATATGTGCTGGATAAGTTTTGTTACAGTTTGAAGTCTTTTCAATGTTTGCATATGCTTTAGGTTCAGGTTTTCCCAGCTCGTTTTGGGATACTTTGAAGTCAAGTGTATTAACAGTTTGCAAGTGTTTTTTGAACTGTTTTATCTTTTGCATGTAACATATTTGTCATAATGACACAATCATATGCGTTTTGTTCAAAAACAAAATTTTTTATCATTTCATATCTAACTTTGATTGAAGTTCAAAGTGTTGCGTTTCAATAAAGTATCCAAGGCAAATTACATATTTTCATGCAAACTACGAACATCACCATTATGCAGAAATCTTGTAACTATTTTCAAACTGCCTGGTTGAAGTATTTGTTGAGTGCAATTTTGATGTGCTAGTGCTTTTTCTTGAATAACTCTAAAGTTTCTTTTAATGCATAAAATCAATGATGTATTGGAATATTGTTTGTTTTTCTTGATGTATTGATGATGATGTATTGGAATATTGTTTGTTTTTCTGTCTGGCAATTGAATCTGAATGAAACCTTTTTTTCTGGGTGGTGTTTTTGAAATTTCATCTTTATTATAAAAGTTTACAACTGCCAAAACATCACTTTCAGAAAGTTCATATAGTTTTAAACATGCTAGAGGTAGATTTGCTTATTATTCATTTTAGACTTTCTTTCTAACAAAACTATTTGAAAGAATACAGGTAATGCTTGTAGAACTTTTTTTTCATACTTTTCCTCTTTGTTGAATATTTTTAAAAGATGGGCTCAGCCTTTAGGATTGATTTATAAGCTTTCATTTTAGAGCGGCTTTATTCTTTTACAACTCTTTGTTTTGCTTTTGCAGAATTTTTTGCAGAAGAAGCTGCTTTTTAATTAAAATCGGCTTTCAACTTTTCTTTTATCTCTTAAATCTTTCTCTTGACACATTTTTTCTTCCAAGAACAATAATTAGTTGGATGCTCTGCATAATTTTTTGTACATCTAATTTTGATTTCCATTTCTTAAAAATGTTTCTAAAGAAAATGCAAATAATAATCCAATATTTTACAAAAATATACTGATAGCGTGTCACAATATTGAAATACAAAATTTATTGAAATACAATTTATTTTAGTACAAGTTTCTAGAAATATGTACATGTAAGCCAACTACGCATTAGGTTGTAGTTTTTTACATTTATAACCAAAGTAAAAATATTTTTTAGGACTTGGTAAAAAAGTTACTTGTACTTGATCCAAAAAAAAGGTTAACTGCAAAAGAGGCATTAGCTCACCCGTGGGTACAGGTAACTGTTGAGTTTTCTTTTAAATCAAATTTATTTTAGTGATTTGAGTGTCAAATGTATATGTTGTAACATATGTATGTATGTATGTATGTATGTAACTTATATCTATGTATGTGGCATATATATTATACTAATATAAATTAATTATATACATTTATATTAGTACTTAATTATGTGTAACCTACAAGCATATCTTAAAAACCTGTAATTAAGATGAAAAAACTGTATAAAATTGCCACCAACTTGCCATTACAACTGCTAACAATGCCAACTCAACTAACTGAAAGTTAGTTGCAATTGCAATTATTAACAATTGCAGTATCTGAAGCCTTTTTTAATCTAAGTGCGGAAAAAAGTGTAAGCATTTGTTTAGTTTATCCGTGCATTACAACTTTGAAAAATTGCTCAATGGGTAAAAAAGAGATAAGTAAATTTGTTGATGATCTTACTATGCAGTTGAAAATCAGATTTGAATTAAAGCTGTTTTTCTTAACACTACCTTCTTAGTCCCTAGATTTAAATCTAGATTTATGTATTGTTTATCTTGGCAGATAAGCAAACTCTGGAATCTTACTTAAGGTGTTTCATCACCAAAAAAAAGTGAATATAAAAAAAAAATTCAAAAAAAATAGTATTAATACTATTTTTTTTTCAATTTTTTTTTGCTAAAGACTCTAATTAGTTTACATATATAATTAAAAACTTAAAATCACAAAAAATAAAAAACAAAGATAAAATTTTTTTCAAAAAACTAAAATAAAATAATATTTTCTATTAAGTAAGATAATTATCTTATTTAATAGAAAATATTATTTTATTTTAGTTTTTTGAAAAAAGTTTTATCTTTGTTTTCTATTTTTTGTGATTTTAAGTTTTTAATTATATATGTAAACTAATTAGAGTCTTTAGCAACACCTTAGTTACAATCAAGTTTTCACTATTATAATAAAAATAATAATGAACTAAACACTTAAAGTTATTTTTTAATGACTCTTTCTGTTGTCAAGAATTTAGCTCAATTGATGTTTGGTTGACTACCTTTAGTTTGGTTGACTACCTTTCAAATAGAATATGAAGCTTTTTAATGGTAGTTTGTTTTTAAAATGGTTTTATGACACTTTGAGTTTTTCTGTTTTTTTCTTTATTTCAAACATAATAACTCATTATGTTTGAAGTGAATTCAAACATAATAATGTTTATTAATGTAAATTCAAGCATAATAATGTTCCCAAAAATTCATTTATTTACTTAGAAATTTAAGGAAACGCTCCTAATAGTATTCTCTAAAGGATAAGCAAAGCATTTTTTATCTTGTTGTACATTTATATGACTGTTTTACTAGATTGCAAAAAAATAATAAAAAAAAAACAATTTTTAACAAAATATTAAATTAAACAAAATTTTATAATTTTTTATAATTATTTGGTGTAAATAATAGTTTGTTTGCAAATAAAATCAATAATGTTTCTTTTTTCAAAAAAAAACTTTTTTGATGACCTTAATAGTATCTAAAATCACCTTAATAGTATCTAAAAAAAGCACGTTTTAAATATTTCTATGGTTCCCTATGAAGTTTAACTCAAATTTCTTTTACAACAAAACAAACGTCTCATCTGAACCAAATAAAATTTTAGATAAAATGTTTGAACATGTTTCTAAAAATTGTTCCCTACCAGATAGAAGAACTTTAGATCAGCTATTAAAGTTTGAAATTACTGCGTATACAGAATAGAAAACATTGGAACTTTCAGATTGTCCTATTCTCTACTTGAAGTACAAATATAACATTTTACAAAGTTGCACTTGATTTTCTTTCTGTTCGAGCAAAAATTGTTCATCAGTAAGAGTTAACTCTGCAGGAGAAGAAGTAGTTAAAAGTAAACACCTTTCTGAGCAAAATGCAAAATGGTTAATTTAAATTAAAAGTAAAAAAAGAGCTTATTCAAATAACATTATCATTGTGTAATTGTACATTGTAAGAATATAGAGATAAAAAAAACTTTAATTCAGATTTTCCTAAACTAGTGATTCAATTCAAGATAAGATTCGTTTCATTAATCAGATGCTGCTTTAATTTGATATATATATATATATATATATATATATATATATATATATATATATATATATATATATATATATATATATATATATATATATATATATATATATATATATATATATATATATATATATATATATATATGTATAATAGTTAAAGTAACTAAGCTGATGTTTGTTTTGTAACTGATTCTGTTGTTTTGTCTGAATATTTTAAGAAATTTTTTTGTGATATATTGTGATATTTTTATCAATCAATTTGATTTGTTTTCTGTCAAAATGTTAGGCATTAGAAAACTCTACACCTTTATCACTTTATATTTTAAAACATTGACTTGCAAAATACGTGTATATATTTAGTACTCAAGTTTCACAACTGAAAATGTGGTATTACCTAGGCAAAAACATAAGAAAAAAAAAAAAAGGAAAGTTGACAACAGCACAAAAAAGGAAAAGTTGACAACAATGCTGCAACCAAAAAGTTACAAGATTTGAACTTTTTTTTTTAATTAAAATTTCAAAGCAACTAATTAAAGATGTTAATTGCAGTACTGGATGGTTTCCATGCCATTGTTAACAGCTCTTTCATTCGATCCAAATAATCACGAGCAAGCAATCCAGCCAGTTAAAAAGTTTGCAGCTGGCATACATAAGTGCTGTACAAAAAGCCTTTTTGAAAAATTATTATCAACACATTAAAGTAACAAGCGAGGAAGATAAAGTCAGCAGTTACAAATCTGAATCTGACACTGAATTTAGTTTTCTTGATGCTGCCATGGATAAAAACATTTCCATCCCAAAAGTGAAAGTGCATTTGCAATTTGTCATCACAAAAGTCAGAATTGTCAAATTATTTTGAAAATTTCTCAAAAAACAGCATGGAAAAGTTGGAACAGCCTACTTTCAATGATTCAACAGTTTGTCAAAGTTAAAGATTCAATCAGAAAAGTTTTGAATGACATATCTTTACATTAGATTTGCAGCAATGAATTAAACCTTTTATACAACATTGTTGCTGTTCTTGAACCAATCATATTTGCAACAGAAGCCCTTCGCTGACAGGATGCAACTCTTCATACTGCTAAAGGAATTTTAAAGTTTCTTGTAAACAGATTGAAACAACAAGATTCAATTCTTTGCATTACAATTAAGAGTGGAATTTTGAGACGTTTTGAAGAGAGAAAGTGGAGCAAATGTTTATCCAACATTCAAGAACATGAATTTTTAAAAATGCTTTCAAAATCTGCACTTTAAAAGACTGCAAAAATTGACTGTCTTTGATTTTCCCAACAAATACAGATGGCTTAGAATTTATTCAAGAAGTGCATAACTCAGAAAGCCTTGGCGAAAATCCATTTTTACTTAATGATGAACTTGAGGAAGCTTTTCAGCATTCGGTGTAAAAGTAACGCCTCAATTAAAATGACAAATTCAAAGCCATTTCCAAAAAAAATTGGTCTATGAAGCTACTGGAAAGAGAATTGCCTATATTGAACTTTTGTTCAATCCATTTAAGGCTATCCCACCAACAAGTATTGAGCATGAACAAGCCTTTTCTGCTGCTGGATTATTTTTGACAAAAATTTGATCCAGAATGATTGACCATTTACTATATACGCTTTGTTTCCTCGAAGCTAATTTTTTATCACTATCAATTAAGATATTAGATTTAAAGCTTTTAAAAACGTTTTTTTGAACAAAATGAAATTTTATTTGAGTTTCTATTGCATTTTTATTTTCTATTTAGGTTTAAGTTAGCCAATTTTCACTTTAATTTGTCATTTTTTCATTTTAATTTGGCACTTTTCACTTTATTTTGGCCAGTTTTTATTTTAATTTGTCAATTTTATTTTAATTTGACAAACTAAACTTAGACCTCGAAAAAACAAATCCAAAATCAGTTTATGATGAAGTAATTATACATAAAATAAAAATTGGTAAAACAAATTTCATTCATGTTATGAAAACTGCACATAAAATGCACTTATTTGGAAAACTTTTTCCCTTTTTTAAGCCCCAACCGGAACATTAAAAAGATTGAGAGCACGATCATAATGTCCTTCAAGATGTTAGGTGAAGACGTGCAAGGACTTTGGGACGACAAGTTGATTATTGAAAGATTCTATCCTAACATTTACCTTTGATGAATTTATTACTTTCAGTTTAATTAATTTTTAGAGTTCATTTGGCTGATAAATTTTTCGTGCCAAATAAAAATTAACAAATTAAAAAGAAAAATTGCCTAATTAACGTGAAAAGTGTGAAATAACAAATTAGAGTGAAAATTGCCAAATTAAAATGAAAAAATGACAAATTAAGTGAAAATTAGCTTAAACGCATAAAGGTGTAGTTTTGACATTGACGAAAAAATTGTTTAAAGAAAAAAAATGGATGATTAAAAATGAAATTGTCAGTTAAAGAACAAAATTTGATATTTTGTAGCCCATCCGTCATGCTAAAACTTTTTTACGACCATAACAAATTCTTAACTTCAATCATTAGGTATTGTAAAAAATAATTAAAAAATGCAACATCCTTTTATATTCATTAAGAATGAATAGAATTAATCTATTTTGATGTCGGCTCGGATTCAATTTTTCTAAAAAACCTTTTAAAACAATTAAAACGTTTAAATACTCAATTTAGCCATTTTAAAACTTTTTATACTCAATTTAAACCTTTTCAAAAATTTCAAACTCAATTTAACCTTTTTAAACATTTTAAAAGTTTGAAACTTTTAAACGTTGAAAAAGGTTTGAATTGAAAAGTTTTAAAAGGTTTAGACTTTAAAATGTTAAAACTAGACAGTCAATTCTTTTTAACTTTTTATAGATTGTAGTTTGTCAAAACTAATAGCAAAATACGACGAGGTCGCAAAATTTTTAATGCATATTAAAAAATATTATTTTACAACATCTGATTATAAAAAATAAGAATATAACGTAACTGTAAATAATAAAATGAAAAAAAAAAAATTTAAGAAGTCGACTTTGTTCAAAAAAACTTTGATCAAAATCTGACAGTTAAACTACATTTAATTATTTGTCGAAATTATTTTTTTGCCAATTGCATATAAATGGTTTTAAATATTAAACTACCAACTTACTCAGTTAAAAAAAAAATTAAATTTTTCCATATTCTAATTCATATACTGTTGCATAAGTTATATAAAAACGTAACTTTGATGTTAATTTTTTAACATTTGTTCTTAAATAATGTTTAAGTTGCACGTTAACTTAAAATATTTTTTAATTGCGGGAGGCAAATATTTCCGCTTTCAATTTGGCGGCCGCAACCAGCTGGGATGCAGAAGCCACGGCAGCCGTCTCCAAATTATTTTGCCTCCAAAATTTAATTTGAAGGCCACTAATGGCTTTTGCCTTACTTTTGGGATTAGTCTCCAAAACAAAATTCTGGCCAATAGAAACGCGGAAGAAAGAACGTTTTGCCGCAAAATATTTATTCTGAGTCCACCGACAACGGCTTCCGTCACCCGAATAAGTCGGCCTTTTGGCAGAAAGTTACTTAGCTGCCGGGTGGCATTATCAACTCTGTTTTCACTGTTTTTTCTTTAATGCAATTATCATAATTGTAATTCTTCAAAATTGCAGCTAAGATCTTTGATGAAGGAACTTTTTTTTACGTTTTAATGTTTGATTTACCAGTATGCACGAATGATTTTGACTTAACTTGCGTTTATTTTTAGGGAAAAGGTGCAAATATAGTTCATATGGAAAAAGCTCAAGATAAATTACGAGAGTTTAATGCAAGGCGAAAGATAAAAGCAGGTGCCCATGCTGTTATAGCTGTTACAGATCTTTTAAGAAAATTGAACGCTAACAAAAAATAGTAAACGTTCGCTTTGCTATGCTGTGATATACTTCTATACTTGCTTTGCTGTAGTTCTTTTTAAAAATCTATCCAATCGTTTTGTTTATAATATTTTTTTATTTATGATATGCAACTAATTAAAAATCACTTTGTCAATTCAACATCAACATGAACATATATTACATCAACAATGATATATATTGATTTATATTTAACGATTTAATTTCTTTGGTTTTTATTTTTAAGCCATAAAACTCACTTTTTTCTTAAATTTAAAACTTGAAGTTTCATACAAATGTTTTTTTTAACTGAGTGAAATCTTTTTTTTATTATTAAAAGAATCTCATTTGTAAAATGTGCATGAAGGTTTTACGCTCTTGTTAAATCTAAAAGCAACAAAAAAAGATTTTTAAAATTCAATTCTATTACTTTCATTCTTAGGAATTTTTAAATATTTTGTTTTTTAATTTAGGCGATTTGTTTATTTTTGACAAGTTTTGTTAAAAACGTTTAAAGAATTATTTCAGTTGTATTAGCGTTTTTGTTTCTTTTTGTTGCTTTTTCAACAAAAATATTAGATTAAGTACACACTAAAAAAAAGAATGTTTGAGTTTCTACTTTAGGGTAGTATATGTGATATACTATATATCACATATATATGATATATATATATGATATATAGTAAGTTTTATACCTTCTGAGTTACAAAAGTATACGTTATAATTAAAAATAATGATTTTTCATACAATTTAAACACTTACACTTTATAGGTATAACTTTCTACCTTTGTGAGGTGTGAGGTGTACACCTTAGTGAGGTGTAGGTGTACACCTTTTTAAGGGTATATCATATATTCTACCATAACGTAGAAATTTCTACCCTTTTTTAGTTGTGTAATATATGTTGCAAGGGTACTGTCTGTTTAACAGAATAGTCTACCCACACTCAATTCTTTGCTACGTCGCCTCATCTTTTTTGTAAAATAAGTAGAGAAAAGGTGCCTATGATGGCATACCGGTCATATTTTAATAAATATTGGTTATGACGAAAAAGTGATTAGACCAACATGTTTATACTGACTTTACATTAGTTTTAGTAAAAACACGTCCATTATGCACACATATTGCTTTTGTAATCAACAAAAATCGATTTTAGGTTGTGCTGTTATATTTTTAATCCCTTTAAATATTTTAGCTTGTGATTTTATTATTAACTGTACATAAATGAAATATTCATGCATTTTATTTACAAGTTTTGTGCATTTAATGTAATACTTATTTTAATTTTATCTTTTGAACTAGGCAGATATAGCTTGTTTAAATGAAAATGATGATTTCTTCTTATGATGGCATACTGACGAATTAGGTGTGTTACAATATTGACTAGTGAAGAAAAACAACATTTATGTTAGTGAAGTAAAAAAGAATTTTTACTTCACAAAAAAATTTTGGTTCAAAAAACACATAAAACGCAATTCTTTTATGCGCATGCGCGAAATTCTTAACTGCACGAAAGGGTTAATTAGGATGATTACGCGTAATTTCTAGCATTTCTAAGAGAAGACTCTTAGGTCAAATAAAATCGTCAAGTTACCCTTGATACTAACCAGCTTCATCCTACCCTATGCCATCATAAGATCAGTAGTTACCAAGGCCTTCTTAAACAGGCCGCAACAGCTCAATTTCCGTAAAATTAGCGAAGGCCGTCTTTTTTACGGAGAATTAAAGTTTCAATGAGGATTTTGGTTGTTTGAGTTAAACTATAAGTAATGGATTAAAAAACTTCCAAATGCAAACTTTGTGTTTACAGATTATAAGCTAATTTTTGCTCAGCACTGGCCTAAAGATGCAGAATTAAAAAAAGTCAAAGGTGGTAGTTTTGTTCCAGTGCATCCTCCATCAGTCTTTAAAGGTATACCAGTGTCTTGTATATTCCAATAGTGTCTAGAAAACGAGATGTCACTGGGTTAATATGCTCTGAAAGAAATAATTTACCTGATGAGTTCGAAAACTTCAAAAAAATGGACGTTATTAAATTTAATTCAATTGTAAAAAATTTGAAGTCAATAATAAATAACTGTGAAGAAAAATTTTATTTTGTTGAAAAAGAAAAAAATATATCTTTAATATCATATGAACATTGTGGACCAGTACCTAAGTTTTCAATATATATAACTTTAGAAGATTCTGGAGATATTTATTTTACTGGATAAAGCCAACTTTTACAAATTAAACTGTCTTTTTTAAACAAAGGAGTTAATAAATATTATTCTCAACTGGAGAATGCTGTTAGTTATGTTATTAATAATGAAACAGATTCTAAGCGAGCAAGTTATATTAGGCATCAAGTAGCTTTATTAAATAAAACAAACAATACACCATTTTCTTTAGAAGACATTTCTGAAGCATTGCATCTTTATTCAAAATCTCGTTTATTATATTTTGATCTTGTTGAAAAGCTTGTTTTGCTACAAATTCTACAACAAATTTTCAAACAAGCGTGATAGAAGAGATAAATCAGGGTTAATAATGGATAACTGTTGAGTAAACCAAAAAACATTTCAATATTTTAATGCAAAAAAAGTTCCAGCATACTCTTTTAAATGACACTGTGCATATTTTAAAATGTATTCGAAATAATTGGATCACTGAACAATTACAATGTTTAAAATATAGATTGCTAAATGATAACGATACTGTGCGACTTGCAGAATGGAAATTTATAATTCAACTTCATGCTGCAAATAGTCAAATAGTTAAGTTGTCACCCTTAACACAAAAAGCTGTGTCACCAAAACCGATTGAGCGACAAAATGTTGGATTAGTTCTTAAAGTTTTTTGTGATGAAACAGTTGCAGCATTACATGTATAATTTCCTGAAGCTGAAGATACTGCACTTTTTATTGAAACAGTTGTTAAGTGGTGGCTTATTGTCAACAGTAAAGCAAAAGGTCTAGATATTAGATTAAATGATATTCGAAAAAAGCCTATTTCTTCAGTCAATGATTGGCAAATAGATTTCTTAGAGAACTATATTTCGTATTTTGCTGAAAATTTGAAATGTGTAAATTCAAAATTAAGAGAGAAAAAGTTAACAATGGATACTGCAAGTGCTTTGCAAAAAACTTCTAAAAGATTAGCAAGCTGTGCCAAGTATTTGTTGAATTGCGGTGTATCTTATGTATTGTTAGGACATATGCAATCAGATGCACTAGAAAAACAGTTTGGGAAATATTGGCAAGGGTCAGGTGGCACATATCTGATAACTGTGCAAAATGTTATTCAAAAATTTAGAATCGACAAAACTAGAAAGTTGCTAGACAAGCATACAGATTTTACAATATTTCCTCCTGCTCACCACCACTGTGATAAGTGTGAATTTTATGTTGAGTTTAATATGTCAATATGTGAAAATTGTGAGGATCACTTGCCAAATGAATGCAAACAAGGACTTTTATATATTGCAGGTTTTATTGCTTACAAACTTCCAGAATTACACTCAATTTTAGAAGAAACAGACACCTTTGATATGTTTCAAAAATATGGAACTTTGATCAGTTCTTTGAACAGGGGAAGCCTTCTGACAATTTAGTCTACTTTGTTTTTTATTGTTTTTTTATATTTGAAGTGACACTTGTGAATAAAGTTTCACCATTGCTGTGCAAGAAAGGATTAATTGACATTTTTATTAACTGCAATAGTAAATTTCAATTGCTTGTTCAAAGTGTTAAAAAAGTTTGCTGCATTTTGGCAAACATTTTTTTAAACAATTGTAAAAAACACTCTAAAGATTTTGGGAAGGAATGTTTAATAAAACAAGCAAAACTTTCAACTTCAAAATAAAACACTTTGAGTCAAAAAAGTCAAAATAATTTTAATAAAATAAAGTTAATATATTTGTTTGTTTTTATCAAAAAATTTATTATTTGTATTACAAGTGTTAAACAGCTAAAATAAACATATAGTTATAAAAACGAGATTTAGTCATTTTTAGCTAAACTCCTTAAATTTTTATTGTAATTAACTTATTTCTAAACGTAAAAAAAATTCCTACAATATTTGCTTTCGAAATTCAATCAATATGTTTTGTCCTAATAAAGCTCTTTATTTGTTTCTGAAGTTTGTTTACAAAAGCAAAGATAAAAAGTAATTTTAACCGTAAAAAAGTCGGCCTTCGCTAATTTTACGGAAAATGAGCTGTCGCGGCCTGTTTAAGAAGGCCTTGGTAGTTACCTACGATGACATACTTGTGTTTTTTTTTTAAATAAAAATAACTAATAAAAAAATAAAACTTACGAAAACTCTTAAAGTTATTATTGTTCTACATATAAAAAAGAATGAAAATCCATATCAAAACTTTTGTTCTTTGTTTTCAGTATACTGAATAATGAGGCTTCAAAATTAAATATGTCATCATAGGCGTTTTTACCCTACCTTTTTTACTACTAATAAATTACAATTGTTGTTTGAAAATAAGTATTTATAAATTTGAGGAAAAAAAATTATAAATTATTTTAAACATTTTTTTTTTATTTTAAAGCAAAAAAAAAATTCAAAAGCTTTAAGCTCTAATATAATATAATTTTGAAAAATCTTTAAAAGAAGTTAAAGACTAGTTACGAAGTTGATTTTGTTAAAGCATACACTCCATAAACAACTACTTCAAAAAGTTTTTTAATTCAAGTTAAAAGATTTTTACTAGGCAAGACTCTCTCACGTTTATTTCTTATAAAGAGAGTTTATAAAGTCCTTCTAAAATTAATTCTTTCGAAAAATTTCTTGTAAAAACCTATTTTAATCTTTTTATGATAATTTTACTTTACAAATACTAAAATAAGTAACGATCGAATGGCTAAAGTTGAAAAGGATACAACAACGCTAAAATAATCAAGTCGCTTGAAACTGAGGTAGCGAGTATCGTAGAAAGTTTAAAATTTCCACGAAGAACTTTTTGATAGAAAAATAAAGACTTTCTCTGATTCTCACGAAAAAGATAATGTTTTAAGCAAAGGAGCGATACAAAATAATAACGATAATATCGAGGTAATAAACAATACAAATAAAGAGTCTGTACGTATATTAAACACGCGGATAGACAAGCTTAACAAAAGGCTATCAACTAATCAACATCGTCACGGCTGAAACTGAAAATCGACAAATCCGGGCATCTAATGTCATAATTGTAAAGCTACCCAAATCATTTAAACAAAAGATCAAAGGTGCTTCAGAAATGTAG